TTATATAGTATATACTTAATATACTTCTACTTTATAAATAGTTTAGTAACTTTATACTACTTATTTTTATTATTTTCTTTTTAATTAGTATTACTAATACTTTTTTTATACTACTAAAAATTTTTATTTTTAAAGATTACTACTACTATATTTACCTCTTTTTTTTTATTACTTTTACTTTACCTCTACTATTTTAAATATAATATAGTATATACTATATACTTAATTTAGTTTTAGCTAGTTTACTACTAGTATACTTTCTTCTCTACTTTTACTATCTTTACTACTATACTATAATGCTTACTATATAGATAAGTATACTATAGAAAGCAACTTTAATAATAATAACTTTTTAATAAAGAGAAAGTTCTAGAAATATATATATTATATTAATATAAACTTATTAATACTAGCTCTACTAGTTATATCTCTAGCTTTATTATAGCTTCTAAGTAGTACTATAAAATCTATAAAAAGTATATTTAGAAAGTATACTTTTATACTTTAAACCTTAAGCTATACTACTAATAGAAAAAAGTATAGTAAATTATAAATACTAATAAGTATATTATATTTACTATATATAAAAAGTTAAGTAAAAGCTTTAGTATATATATTAAATTTTCTATATAGTTCAATTCTACTACTAAAAAATTTAATATATTATTAAAGTAAGCTTATATTACCTCTAGTTCTATTTATTTCTTATATATACTACTTAATTTATCTTCTAGTAGTATAGCTACTAGCGCTAATTTATAATACTAATTTATAAGCACTAGTACTTATTAGTATATTAATACTTTTTTTACTATAAATATATACTATCTTTAAACTAGTAAATACTAGTAAGTTTTTTCTAAAGCTAAGCTACTATAGCTTAAAATATTAAGTAAATACTATATAAGTAGTAAGTAGAGTAAGTAGAGTTATACTATAAGTATACTAACTAGTAGAAGCTAACTTATACTTTAGTTAATATACTTTATAAAGAGGCAACTTCTTAAAGCTAATATATCTACTTTTATACTTTTAATTTATACTTTTAAGAGCTCTACTCTTCTTTATAGTAGAGAAGAAGGTAGCTATAAAGATAATAGTATTTAAAATACTATTCTCTCTCTGCCTTCTCTCTCTCTTAATAATTAAGTTATTAATTTAACTAGTAATAAGTTATAATAAAAGTTACTTAGTAAGCTAAAGCGCTTATTTTAGTAAGCACTATATTAAGTATAAGTTAAGTATAAATTAAGTATATATTAAGCTTTATAGTTATTTTATTTCTTCTCTTTTTTTTTTAATAATAATTTTTTTTTACTAGCTAGCTTTAGTACTAATATAACTATAGTCTAGTTCTATATATATATATATATATTTTTTTAATTAATTAGCTCTATACTTTATACTATTATTTAGAATTATAAAGTAATTTACTTAATTAACTTACTTAAAGTAAATAACTACTTAGAGAATTACTTATACTTCTTAGTTAACTTATTTTATACTTTTATTTATTTAGAAGTAAAAATAGTAAGAAGTTAAAAGTAGCTATTTAATACTAACTAAGTAGTAAAGAGTTATTTAGAACTTACTTAACTAGTTTAATTCT